AACTAACTAACAAAAGTATTGAACCCTTTTAATCTCATGACTGATTGATTAATTGATACTTTTATTTTGAACATACATAAAATAGTCATTCATAACTATATTCTAGTGTACACACATACAATACACTCATAAAACACTTTTACAATCCAAAAAGAGCTACATTTTTACATTGGCCTATAAACCCTGTGATTAAGACCTCACTAAATATATGTGCCTTGTAAAAATGATCTCTTTATATTTGTTTTTTAAACTGAGTTGTGTTTGAAATTATATCCATGTAACGAATACTCTAAGGAGCTTGGAAAGAAAAGCGGCTGGATTTGCTTGAAGACGTTTCCCCTCTCATCTGAGAAGCTTCTTCAGTTCTAAGGTCAAATGGTGGAGAGTCCCAGATTTAAGCCCTGTGGGAGTATGCCCCCATGAGGTACAATGGACCACCTAGTGATCCTCTACCTAATCACATGAGCCAAGGTGTGAAAACGGGTGTAGGTCACAATCAGCCAAAGTTCCGGGTGAGCTCACTGTGAAACCTGGCCCCACCCTATCATGTGATTTCCTGAGGTCAGATGGATGTGAGTGGACGTTAAGGCATCTGGTAAGGGATCTCAGAACTGGATTATAGATGGCAGACAGTTGGTGTCGTAAACCACCGCCTCTGTTCAAAGATGGTCATTCACAGTGGACATAGATGGCTTCTTTCACTCCTCTTTCAAACCATCTGTCTTCTCTGTCCAAAATGTGAATATTGGCATCCTCGAAAGAGTGACCTTTGTCCTTTAGATGCGGATGGACAACCAAGTCTTGTCCTGTGGAGATGGCTCTTCTATGTTGTGCCATGCGTTTATGAAGTGTAACAAATACCTTCATGAATACTTTCAGCTTGGGTTACTCTCTCCTTGATCAACATAAATGAAGACAAGGCTTCATTAGAATACAATTATACTGCTCCATCACAGAGGGACACATTTTCTATATTCGTGCTGTTTATTGTTTTTAATCTTATGAAGTTATGTAGCGTTGTACTTTTTTTTAACTTCATCTTTACAATTGTTCCACACATGAACTCCTGTGACAGTAATGCTGTAATGTTGACTTTAATTGTGTTCAATGCTATAATTTCAGGGTGTTCAGACCCTGGTCCTGACCCTGACCCTGAACTGATGGAACCCATCCAGCCCTCTGTATCAGTTTCACCACATGGACGATTTGAACGACTTCAAGAAGATCCCAACTACATCTCCCACTTCACCAGGGCTCCTGGACATAAAGGACAAAGACGGCTGCACTGTTTCCTAGTCAAGTAATTCAAGAAGCACTGTACCTGCCCATACTCACCTTTGTAGAATTTCTTTCACTTTAGAACTTAGATCATATTGACAGTTTATGCATTACAATGATGTAGCAGATGATAATGGATAAGATATAGTAGTTTAAATATGGGAACAAATAAGACTGGAAAATAGAACCATGAAACTATAAAATAAATATGGTGTAATTTCAAAATGGATGCCGTTGCGTTTCTTGGTTATTACAACATACTGTTGCTCTATATCCTGCCTTTGACAAAAGTTTGCAATAGCATTGTTATAATAAAAATAAATAAGCAAGGAAAGAGTAGCAATGCAGTTTTGGAGTGAGTTGAATTTTAACCCATGCAGTTAAAATATTATCGTTTAAACTTTGTGGACAAAGAATTCAGGCATTCAGGGCCTTCATTTGCTAGAAGGTAATGAAAACACTGGTGCAGAAAACATTTTTTTTCCTCTTGTCTAACTTATGAGATCAACCTTTGCATTACTCCATAAAAAAACACCGTCCATTTCCCTAACCCTTAAAAAAGTGTCAACCACTTCTTAGTTTCCTTGTGCCTTCAAACAAACTGAAATCAGCTGCAAAAACAATTGAAGAGCCTTTGGAATGCAAATAACAGCATAATTGGAACCATAATGTCATTACTGATTTTAGTAGAGTAATGCACTGTTACATTACTGCGTTACTGATAAATGTAATGCCATTACATTATTCTTATTGCATCTTTGGTATCCGTTACACCCAACACTGATGACATTTATCTGTTTTTATTATATGACTCTTGCCATTCGTGTCTATACCAATGAATATTTGTTCCCTGCATATAAAGTGAATTGAAAGTGGAACTAAAAAAGTCCTTGCCCTTTGTCCTCTCACTGCTGACGCCAAACATCATCTAATCTGAATGTTTCACTGAATTTACTTCTTCCTCTCGCTCCTTCTTCCATGTCTAATTATTACATACTGTATCTATATTACCCTACTCAGTGCCATTAATGTACTATACGAGAAAGTTTGGGAATGGTCCCTGTGTTCTTAGACGTCCTGTAATTGACAGCACCTGCTAGAATGCCTTTTGAATATTAAACTTTACATTATGTGGAAGCATTGTTTTACCTTTAAGACTCTTAACTTAGTTAGATGACTCTATTGATCTGTATTTCCTCAAGACAACAGTAAGTTTATGAGGAGTACTTATGACCAGAGTGTTCAGTTGTTACTTTAATTTTTTTGTTATAATGTTTCGTAATAAATGTTTGGTGGTTTTGAAATAAACAAGCTGCCAAATAAGACTGAATTGGATGTACAAATAAACCATTGTTTCAACTCATTTAGGGACTTACAGGGGTGTGTGAGCAATGCACTTTTCTCCAAATTGTGTTTCCAACTTCTTCATCTAATCTTCGATGTCAGAAGCACATATTACCATACGCATATATCCAAATGTGTTTTTTAAATCAAGAAGAGAATAAGTCTTAGAAAGTGTACTACAACGAGAATTTCAGCAATATAGTTAATATGATTAAAAGCAAGTCTGCGTTATAGAGGACTGACTTGGGTTGCAGGACTGATCGAGTCCGGCATATGCAAAATACAGGCTGTTTAATGTTGTTAAATAGTCAGCACTGATTTTTTAAATTTGTTTATTAATGAACAAAAAATTATTCTCAGCGCTTAAAAAAATAATCAAGCAAAAAAAAAAATCCACTTATATTGGCATGCATGTAGGTGTAGATCTCAATTTAGTGTATGGATATTCTACAGCAGTTCTTTACCTAGGTCTTAGATAGAAGACTTCTTAAGAAGGGTAAACTAATTATCTGGATAATAAATAATATATGAAGCCAAAACCAAATATGCATCAGATAGGCTGTAAACATCAGATAACACCTTAAGCAGCTGCAAGCTTTGGTTGTCTTTAGAAATTAAGGTATTTACATTTTGTAAATATAACAGATTTTTTTCAGTATGACTCAGGGATAAGCCAAGATCAAAAATATATATACATTCCTAGCGAAAGCCAGATGATACTGATTATTTCATTATACAAATATATCTAACACATCTTAGTAGCATCTTTGATTGCTTATATAATAGAATAACTTTAACATTAATATGTGATTGCTCCCTTCTCTTCTTTGTAGATACTTCCTGGCAGGGGTGGCTCTTTTTGTCCTTGGTGCCCTGATTGGTTGGTTTACTCACACATCTACTATCAAATCACCTGTTCTGCCACCCGACAGCTCCGACCTGCTGGAGGAGTTGTTAAAAGGAATTACCGCTGACAAGATAGATGCCCTTCAAAGGTAAGCCCCCAGTTTCTAAATTTACATTGCCCTTCTTGAATTAAATGCTTTTCTTTGAAACCACTCTTTCAAAAACACTATTCAGCTCAGTAAGGTTTATGTACAGACTAATTGCGTTATCAGTGGTGTTATCATAAAGGGAAAGCAATATGGCTATGATGGAGTAGGGCCGAATGATTTTTTTAAAAGAAGTAACACAGACAGAGAGGAAGTCTCTGTCTACCCATCTGAGGGCCCCTAAGTTCACTATTATTTTCACTTGTTACCTTCTAGCCAGACACTGATCTATTTATAGCCAAAGAAGAAAGAAAAGATCCAGAGATAGCAGAAAGAGAGAAAGGGGAGAAAATGAGAGATAAAAAAGTAGCAGGTAACAAATATTTTTTTCTTTTTTAAATTTATTTATTTTTCTAATACTGATACAAACCTCCATCAACCTGAACGTTGTTTTCTCCAAGCCAAAGGATCACAGGATGCCTGGGTGTATGTGTCTGTGTGAGATAACAGGCTTTGCCACTGAACTGAAACAATCATGTCACCATGGTTTGTCTCTGAGTTTTCCATGCTTTTTATAATTTATTTTCTCGCATTTATATTTCAGTGTGCCAGAAACACCCCCATCCAACCTTCCATAACCACCAAAGCTACCCACACACACACTTACACACTACATCTCTACCATCTGTGTGAATGATGAAGTTTTTCTCCATCGCAGTTATCAGTGAATTTAAATGGTTATTTGTTGCTCCTGTCAGTCCTTCACGGAAGAGTTTGTCATTTATTATAACTAAGAACATCAACACATATGACTAATGTTTTAGATAGGTGAAACATGAAATTAGAGTGGTCTGCAATAAAAAAATGGTGCTAAAATAGAATGTACATACGTCATTGTCTTTGTAGACATTATGGACACCCAGCTTTGTGAACACTCGAGAACAGGACCACACAGGATTTTCAAATTGGTAATATTAATAATAGCATCTGATAAAAAGGTAAAAAAAAGTTTGAATTTTGGCTACCATTACCTCATGGTAAGGTCAGAGGTCAAGTTTTCTGAAAACTGAATCCGATCACTAGAGAAAGAAGTCTTCTAGGACATACCCTAGCTGCATCATCTAGAAAGATGAGAGGTAGCACTAGCAGCAGCAAGTTTTTGGGGGGGTTTGTTTGTGACAAACAACCTTAAAACTTGCCCTCACATATCAAATCCTCTCAGTTTCCATTAAGGATATATTTAGGCTTTATTTAATAATGGGAAAAACAGTTTGTTGGGATGCTGTGAAAAAAATCAGAATGTAGTTTAAAACAAAAGAAAGAAGGCAGAAAGAATTATCTATATGAAATATTACATGGGTAAGGTAAAGGTGGCAAAGATAAACACAATTCATGCAAATTGCAAAATTTTATTATTTAGTTCCAATGTACAGCACTTTGCATTAGCTGTGGTTGCTTTAAAGTGCTTTATAAATAAAGATGATGATGATTGCAATTTTAGAAACAGTGATGCATGTGTGGTAAATGAATTGATTCCTTTATAGCGCTTTTGTACTCTTCCGGAGCGCTTTATACAACATTCACCCATTCACACCAGCACTTTTTCCCACCTAAGCTTAAGTGCTTTCTATCTAACATTCACACACATTCATACTCCGATTGATGCATCAGAGAGAAAGTTGAGGTTAGTATCTTGCCCAAGGATATTTGGCATGTAGACTGGAGCAGCCATGGATTGAACCACCAACCTTCTGATTAGATTATGCTCTACCTCCTGAGCTACAGATGGGGCAATTGCGGCTCAAGAGTTGGCAGTTCGACCCCCGGCTCCGACAGTCTCAGTCGTTGTGTCCTTGGGCAAGACACTTAACCCGTTGCTGCTGGTGGTCAGAGGGCCCGGTGGCGCCAGTGTCCGGCAGCCTCGCCTCTGTCAGTGTGCGCCAGGGCAGCTGTGGCTACAATGTAGCTTGCCATCACCAGTGTGTGAATGTGTGTGTGAATGGGTGGATGGCTGTATGTAGTTAAAGTGCTTTGGGGTCCATAGGGACTAAGTAAAGCGCTATACAAATACAGGTCATTTTACAGATACCCCTGTATCAATAGTATATGTATGAATAAAAGCAGACCTCAACATAGAACAACAGAAACGTTTGTAGACAAACAGCAGGTCCTTGTGCCATCATCCCTCTTTCTCTGGTTCAAATTTGCAAATACATCAGGACTTTTCCCTGGATCCAGTCCAATAGATGTGGTTAGCCACAAATACATGATAAATTATTGTAGCAAATATTCTTAATCATTTTCTCTTGTTTCTCTATAATTTTACTTCAACAATCCTTCACATTTACATTCACAACTTCAAGGCTATTATTGAAAAAGCTTCCCAGTTAAAGGTGAAATGTGATCATTACTACACTTTGAAGGGGGCAGTATGTAGTTTTATATTGCCATTCATTGAAACTGATGGCATTTAGGGTTTCTCCAGTCATCTCCGTCATCAATTACGATAATGATTTTATATTCACAATCAATTTTTATGATATAAATCTGTTATTTATGGACTCTTTACATATAGATAGATACTTTAGGTATCTATAGTTTGGTTCAGTGGATATTCCCATATTTGCTTAACCTAGAGTCTGATCATTCTTTTTTTACCATTTACTTTATAAGGCACAGAAAACTGTGAATAAAAGCTATCTGACTTTGTGTTGAGTCTGGGATAGCAAAACTAAGACGGGAACAGACAAAGCAAAAGAGACACATGAAAGGACTTCTGAAGACAGAGAAAGATGTAAGAGGAAAAAGGGGAGTCTAAGGAGATGATGGCGGAAGGGGAGCGTATTTAAACAGCTTTGCTTGACTAGACAGGGGAAATATCTTCTTGTGAATTAATTACTGTTTGGTTTGCAGGATTCTCCCACATTGAGTGATTATTACATTTGCATGAATAGCTCCCATATTCAACAAATAACAATCAGTGTAGATATTGTTTGGAATTGTGACTGTCTTTGCACAAACTAATTAAGTCCCCTTTTGTTTATTATATAATATTTCCAATCTTTGGCCTTGTTTCTTAGCAAAATAGGGGCTGTCACAGTAGAAGAGAACAGACATTTTTTTTCCAAGCTTGTCACTGTAGAAAGTTTATGCAACCAATTCTTTTTTCAATTTACACTTCAAAGAGGTGTGTAAGCAAGCAGAGCTACTTTGAGAGAAAATGGATTAAGTTCAAATCCTTAGAAGATGGGCTGTCACTGCTAGTATCTTTGCCTGTCTAATACTTATCTCTCTCTCCTGCTAATTATACTCTTGTAATAAATTTCTGAGCTATATGGAAGTACATTTTTTGGTTGTTGCTTTTCTGCATACAGGTCTGCACATATCTCAAATGTGAACAACTGCCTGTGGTTTTTAAGTTTTTAGAGATTTTAGGAGTAAATCCTGACACACTTTTTTTACGACTGCAATCACTGCAGATTCCGGTTTGGTGATATGATCAGATGGCAAATCTTTATCTAGCTGATTTAGTCTTATCTAGATGATATAGATCTTGCTGTGCTAGCACCAGAACAAGCAGTAACATACATCACAAGCTATTAACCCAAAAATGAATTTAAAAAAAAAAGGCTTAAAAGTGGACTTTTAAGCTTTGTGGAAAACTGCAATTTTAGATAACTAGCTAGCAGATGATGGCTGTTAAAACAGTGAATCTGTCTCTAGTTAGCTCCATCTACTATTTTGTTTCTTTGTAAATTGCCTATCCCTTGAATAAGTGTGTCAGTTATTTTTGTTGTACATTTTTATGTGATGTTTTGCATGCTAATGACCAATGCAGAAATTTGAACTTGCATAGTTCAAATGTCTTGATATCTGATATCTGATATCTGATATTGATATCCATGCTTTGTGGACAGTACCAGTTTTCTCTGCATATTTGGAAAAATAATGAAATTATCCATGTTTGTTAGCAAAATAGGGTTGTCACATATCAAATTGTGAGCAGTTCTTTCCATCTTGACTGAATGGCTCTTTGGCAGTAGAACGCATTTTATGTGTGCTAATAAAATAATCAAAAATCTAAACACACCTTATAGCCTTGTTAAAGCTACTGTACACGTGTTTATTCTATTTGGTTATTGAAAAGAAGGGTTTTAGAGGATTTTGTGCAAGAAAACTAAACTACCAGAGAACTTTTCATGGAGAAAGCCGCTGAAAGTGAAATGAATATGGGTGTCCTTGATAAGATTACTCAGTAAAACGTCTGGCTTCTGGCTTTCTTAAATTATTTTCTTTTATTTTTTATGGAGTGTGAGCAGTGCTAGATACTTATCACTGATTTAGAGCTGACCACGTCCTCACTATTTGTAACTCTAATGTATCTTGTATCTGTTCATGTAGTAAGTAATTGCCAATTGGACCAGCTTTTTTTTTTTTTTTTTTTTTTTACCTCTAACCTCTTGAATGTCTCTAAACGTCATTAACTTTTTATGGGCATTTGGTCACCACATTGCTGTGAATTGCTTCCAGTGTTGACACGGCTTCACAACTTATGAGGCCGTAAATCTTTTTAGGATTTAACCAAAATCTCACAGAGCAGGCACTTCCCTTACCAAAGCCAATGCCCATTTTTGCACTTTCTTTAGAAAAACAACCCCTCATCTTCAGCTGCCTGTAATAACTGCCTCTAAATAAGAGGCAAAAGCTTGTTTGTGTGTAGCAGACATGCTTTAGATGGGTGTTTCGTGTACAGTTACGATCCTGCTGTGTTGCAGTGTGACCCATCATCTATAGGTTTTCATCCATCTTGACATCACTGCAGCTCATTTCACTGATTACTTCATTTCCTCATTAAAGTTGAGTTAATCACTGAAATCAGTTGCTTTAGTGACTGATTGCAGAGACTCTCTGATAGCACAGTAACCTTTCTATATTGATGGAATTACAATTAAGCTTTTTTACTGCGTTTCTACTCTTTATAATTATGTGTATGCGCACAAGTC